GATCTGCCGATAGCATCCAGGTGGTGTAGGGGGCGCCTGGAACATCGGGGGGAAGCCTCAAGTGTGGAGGAGGAAAACAGCGAGGGCCAGAAGGGACACACCCCCAGAGGTGACCACGAAATGCGACGATGATGGCGATGATGGTGCTGTCCACGAAGATGGTCGGTGCACGTTCTGGGATGTTAACACCCCCTCGACCTAAGTTTACATTCGTGAGTTGAAACTCAGCAAATAACCACCAAGCGCGCAAGTTCTCTAAGTTCACGGGCGTGTGCGACCAGGCGGTTGATATTCGAACTTGTGCAACATGTTCGGTTGAACACTGACGACTTGAGCGACTTGTTTGACATGGAATCGGCGAGTGGTGCAAACCTTTGTGTGTTGGATTTGGTTGGGTTTGTTTTCGGATTTGTGCAACCACGGCCTATGAAGTTTTTCTCGAATGGGGAAGCGACGATGTACAACCTTCGTCGTTTTGTCGGGGCGAACTCGGTTCGCGAATTTGTGCAGTCTTTCTAATTGAGAACTGACGAATCATGCAGCACATTTGATTGGAAACCGACGAAGAGTGCAATCTTTTTCGTCTTGTCGGGTCGGGTTCGTTTTCGAACTTGTGCAACCTTTTTGATTGAGTGGGCGACTTATGTAGCTTTTTGATTGGGAAGCGACGAGTTGTCGTTTTGTCGGGACGGACGCTGCTTTAGAATTTGTGCAACCTTTTTGCTTGAAAACTGACTTGTGCAACATTTTTGATTGGGAACCGACAAATTGTGCTACCTTTTCCGCTTTGTCGGGTCGGGTTCGTATTTCACACTGTGTAATCTTTTTGGCTGAGACTGGACGACCCGTGCAAGTTCCCTTGGCAGGGGAACGACGGGATGCACAACCCTTCTCGTTTTGTCGGGCCGGGTTCGGTTCGCGAACTTGTGCAATCTTTCTCGTTGAGTACTGACGACTTGTGCAGCTCCTTTTGGAGGGCGCGCCGCTGGATGGCCCCAAGGAGGGGGGGGGGTTGGGACCCCCCCCCCTCCTTTCCCCGATCCGTCGTTGGGGACCCCCCCCCTTCCCCCGCTTTCCCGGTCCGTCGTCGGGGACCCACCCCCGCTCCCCCATTTTTCCAGAGGGGGGGGGTCGGACCCCCCCCCTCCCCCCCTTTGGCCGCCAAATTCGACCCCTCCCCCCTCCCCCGCTTTCGCCACGGCGCCCCCCCCGGCTCTGGAACCCGACCCCTACCACCCCTAACACGAATCCTCACATTTACCCGAATCCCTCACCCTAACCCCGAACCCCTAACCCTAGCCCCAAACAGTACCCACTACTCATTACGCGCTACTCACTACCCACTACTCACTACTCGCTACTCACTACTCACCTCATGCGATCTGCCCTGCACGAGCTCGAGGAGGCAACAGCCCATTGCACACGTTGACTTGGCACTACTCTGCTTCAGACTCAAACCTCCCACGCTCGGGAAAGATCACGGCGGAAAGGTGTCGCTCGGAGGAAACAAAAACTCCAACGCTCTTTTGCACTGACAAAGACCAGCCGCACGCGTACCAGCCTGTTTGAAAAATGTGACGGCCAGCGATGGAGACGCTATTCGACCCAGCTCCGCAGATCGCGGGAAAGGTCGTCGTCGTCATCCGAATCGCTGGCAAACGGGAGGCCTTGGAGGTCCTCCCACAAGGCCGAAACAGCCTGGGACACAGGAGGAGAGAGATGCTCCTGCACCGACCACCCCACCCCCACGTCCGACCCACTCCCAACCCCAGAGGTCAGAGGGAGCGAGGGAAGTGGCGGCATGCTCGCCATCTCTGCGGGCCTCCTCTTCCGCAACAAAATTGGAGGCCCTAGAAACAAACTCGATTTGTTAGGGTGGCAGCCCTTCAGCAGGTTCTGAAGGCGATAAAAAAACGAGAGTCTCTCACTTGCGTGCCAAGCCTGCGCCGACTCGTCAGGCACTCGTCCGGGAGACCCTGGCTGCGTTTTTCGGAGTAGGCTCCGCACAGAGAACAGAACAAAACTGGCCCCGCCCGATGCAGCGAGTGCACACCAGCTCTGTCTTGGCACTTGAGCTTGCGCAGTGTGAGTCGGGCCTTGGCCGAGCGGAGACACACCATGCAGCGATAGCGTCGGCCACAAAATGTGACCGCAGGATCATACCTCGAGTGCGGCCTAGGCGGGCCGAAACCTCCCTCGATGGTGCCGATGGCCCTACCCAGGCCCTAGGCGGGCCTCCAACGCTCGGGAAGACCTCCAACGCACGGGAAAAACCTCCAACGCTCGGGTAGGCCAAGGCGGAAGTGTGCGGCAAGGTTCGGTGTCTGGGGCCACTGGGCCACTCTAGGGCTCGGAGGCCACTAGAACAGAACACTGTCTGGGACGAAGTATTGGCCCTCGGGGAGCGGTCGCAGTAATCAAGACATCGGGGGGCGAACGCCCACCACGGAGCGGCGAGAGGAAGCGGTTGTGGGGGGTTTGCGCAGGCACCGCGCGCGAGCACACAAACTGGGGCCACGGTCGGGTCGGCCTCCTCCTCCTCCTCCTCCTCCTCCTCCTCCTCCTCCCCCTCCTCCTCCACCCTCCTCAATTCTCCTGCATCCTGCTCCTCCCCAGAGGGAGAAGGGAGGAGTCCAGCTCTCGCCCAGTCGGCCCATGCGTCAGAGCTCGCTCGACACCGACATGACCCAGGGAGGGGGCGCAGCACGCGTGGAATTCGGCCCTCCGCTGTGCTAGTCTCGCTCGGGGGGCACGGTGCGCGCAACCATGGACGGCGAAGGGTCGTCGGACGGCCCCCACAGCACGGGAGCCCGGCCGCCAGACCTCCGAGAGCCTCCGAGAAACTCCAAGGACCCCTGATAAACTCCGAACGCCTTTGGGAATCACCGAAAAACCTCGGAACCTCGGAGGCTCTCGAGACGACGGCGGCGCCGGCGCCGGCGCCGGCGGCGGCGGCGACGGCGACGGCGACGTTGGCGATGGCGATGGCCTGCCAAGCCGTCGTCCTGCACCCACACGTCGGTCTCGCCGGCCTCGGCTGCCGCAGGCAAAGAGGCACGCCAGTCCAGCAGCAGAGATCCAAGGGGGGCTCGTGAGGTCCAAAAGCATGACTTGACCCACTTCTCGAATGACCTAGGCAATTCACATCTCCCCTCCCTCCCTCCCTCCAGAACGGAGGGAGAGAGTGTAGCGGTGGCAAGACGGGGTAATGGAAAACAAGGGGTCAGAGAAGGCATGCATGCTGGGAGGAGCATGGCAAACGGATGGAAGCACGAAAAGGGAGGGAGGGAGGGACGACGGACAAGAGAGCATGGAGGAGGACACTGAGCAGGGGGAGAAACGACACGATGAGGAAGCACGGAGACGGGAGGAGGGAGGAGAGCGGAGGATCGCGGAGGAGGAGTGTGGAGGAGCGCGAAAGACACGGATTAAGATGGTGGACAAGAAAACGGAGAAGAGAGAAGAAACACGAAAGGCAGGAGAAACACTGGGGAGGGAAGATAAGGGTGGAAAAGGATATGCAATCATGCGGATGGTGATGCGGATAATGGTGATGAGGGGGAGGATGAAAATTATGAGGTTGATGATGGTGATGCTGATGCTGGTGATGTTGGTGATGGTGGCGGTGATGCTGCTGATGAGGCGGAATATGATGGCCATGGTGATGGTGATGCTGAAGCTGATGATGGCGATGATGATGCAATTGATACCGAGGATGGTTCGGATGAAGACGGTGATGATGACGATGACGATGAGGAGGAAGAGAAGGAATCAGACGAGGAAGAACACACTAGGAAGGAGGAGGGGTGAGAAGGGAGGATGAGCGAGCAGGAGGAGAAACGGCATGGAGGGAGGATGGCGGCGGGATGAGGAGGATGGAGGTAGGGGGAGGTGGAAGAGGAGAGCGGATAATGATGGGGAGGACGACGATGGAGGGCGAGGATGGAGGAGGAGGAGGAGGAGGAGGAGGAGGAGGAGGAGGAGGAGGAGGATGGAGGAGGAGGAGGAGGAGGAGGTCGAGCAGGAGGTCGAAGAGGAGGTCGAGGAAGAGGAGGAGGAGGAAGAGGAGGAGGAGGAGGAGGGGCAAGGGATGGAGGAATTTACGATGGAGGACGGGGGAAGGATGCGAGAGGAGGAAGGAGGAAGAAGAGGAGGAGGAGGGGGATGGATGGGGCGTCATCAAAGAGGCCCTGGCGGCAATCAGCAGGCTGACGACCGCCAGGGCCCCGGATGTCAAGAGGGTCCCTCGCCGCCGCGCGCACGTGACCGCGGACGCCGTGGCGATGAGGGAAGGACCCCGAAAAAGTCCAGACAGGCATCCGTTACGACCATGTCCTGCCCTGCGGGCAAGCCCGGCGGAAACCATCCCCGCGGGGATAGGGAGCCCACAAAGGACGTACGCACCCAGCTATGTACATGAACACGGCCCCTCGAGCCGCGAGACTGGCCGCGTTATACGAACATTTGCGCAATGCGTACTCTCGAAACCAGCGTGGATTCATGTACGTGTACGTCCTTGTTTTGCTCCTGAGGGGACGGGCGGGCAACGCCGTGGCCACCCGAGGCCACCGGGGACGACGGCCCAAGAGGGCCACGCGGCCGCCAGCGGCCGCCCCCGCCCCACGGGGAAGCGGGAACGCACAGCACGAGCGAGCCCGAACCCAAGCGGCAAGGACCTGAGTGGGCCCTGGAAACGACAGGGCCGTTTTTGTTACCCGTTCCGTTTTGCCGTTTTTTTGCTGGTTCCGACGCCGTTTTTTAACCGGTTCTGTCGCCGTTGTTTGACCTGTTCCAGCTCCGGTTCCAATCCTGGAGCCGTTGTTTTTTGACGTTTCCGGTCGCCGTTTTTTTGCCGTTTCCATTTTCAAGGGACATAGTTTTGGAAACGGCGAAAAAACGGCCCTGCCGTTTCCGGGCCCTGCAAAGGCAAGGACCCCAGCCAGGCCCGCAGCGCAAAATTTCGAGGAGGATCCAGCAGCCCGCGAGCCGACCACCGCGCATCACCTGCGCTTGCGCGGGCGCCGCGCGCAGCACCGCTCACGGATGGCGGCTTGGAGCCGCTGGATGGCCCTCTCCATCTCGATCATCTTGTCGGGGCCAGCGGTTTGGACGAACTGCCGCTGGAGGATCACCGGCCTGCGCCGCCCGCCATCGTAGCCGCGCTCGTCGAAGACGTCGCGGACCTCGCCGCCGCCGATCGCCCTTGTGACGTCGTCCTCGGACTCTGCGACAATCGCCTTCAGCCAGTCGGTGGCCATGGACCTTGGGGCGCACTTGCTGTCACGCATCGTCCGCTCCCCAACCTGCTTCGCCACAGGCTTCAGCGAGAACTTGTTGGCCTCCAGCGCCTCTGCCTCCACCGTGGCAGCCGCCGTGATCTCGCTTCGCCGTGGCTTGCGGTCCACCGCGATCCGCTTGAGCCACTGGCGCCCTGCGCGCTGCTCGTGGTCCGAGGGAGCTGGCGGAAGGGGGTCGCCCTCGTCGAGCTCCCATCCTGGCCTCCACAGGTCTCTCTGGACGGCCACTGCACAGCCGTCATCGTTCTCCTCGTACTCGTCGCCCTGGTCCTCGTCATTGTCCTCGCCGCCGACGTGGGCCTTCTCTTCCGAGTGCTGGCGGTCTGCCGACTGGACCTCCACGGCCTCCTCGGCCTCCTGGGTGACGTCGGACGGGACATGGTCGATGTTCACGACGTGTTTTGCCGTCTGCATCTCCACCGTCTTCCCAAACTCCTGGGTCTGCGCCTTCGGTACGTGGACGAACTCGGCGTACCCCCCCGTGGGCACTTCCACGACCTTTTCGATCTGCTCGGTGACGTCCAGCAGCAAGTTGGCCGGCACGCCGACCTCCGCTACGGCCCCCGCCGCGCCCTTGAGTTGCCAGGCGACAGCCTTGGTCTGCATGAGCTCCTGCGCCAGGCCGTCGCACCTCCTCTTTGCTCTCCTCCGCGCCGGACTCCTTGCAGCGCTTCCTGCCGCCGCGAGCCCGCCGTGCAGCCTCGCGCGCCGAGGCAGGCACCACCCCGGCGCCCACACCGAACTCGGCGTGCTGGGCCCAATGGCGGAAGGCCCTGCAGCGGCCCGAAGGGGCCGGCTGCGCCCCCGCTTGGCCCGCCACCACCTGCTCATTGAGGAACGGCCTCGAGAGGCGCCCGCGCGCGTGCATCTCGCCGTCCACCGCGGGGTCCGCCACCTCCGCGCCGAAGAGCAGCTCCGCGCCCGTGCGGAAGGTGGCCGCGGCGACCACCCTCAGCCACGGCCGCCCGCACGGGCGGGGCAAGCGCCGCCAGCGCCTGGCTGCGCTCGACCGTCGCCATCGCCCGAGCCGCGTGCCGCGGGCGCGCCGAGCTGGCTGGAGCCAAAATGGCTATGGAGAAGGAGGAGGAGGAGGAGGAGGAGGAGGAGGAGGAGGCGGAGGAGGAGGAGGAGGAGGAGGGAGGAGGAGGAGGAGGCCGCCCCCCCGACGGTCAGGAACTTCTGTTCCGCGTATCGCGGCGGCGGCCCCTGCGAGGCGACACGCTCTGCCTGGCGAGCGGATAGCGTGTCGCTCCGCTCCGCGGGGCGGGAGGCTCGGAAAGGATCGGGACGTTGACGCCTGAGAGAGGGGACCTGCATACGGCAAGTTCGTGTCGTGACGACCCCGGCGTTGGTTTTTGACACCGCGTGGATCGTTCAACCTTGAACGATCGGCGGCTTTTCGATCGCCCGATCGTTCTATATAGGCCGATTCTGGGCCACTGGCGGCGTTCAACCTTGAACGCCCGCGGCGGGGTCGCCGATGGTCGACACGACGCAAACCTACCATAGCGTGTCGCGCTGCAGCGTGGTGGGCCAGAGCCAACGGAGCGGCACGCTGCCCAAAAGTTCCGCACCGTACCCTTGCTGACCCTCCTCCACCTGTTATAGCGGCGCGTTCAAGGGGTGTGGCGAGGGGGGGCGGCCTTCTGAGAAGACAGAGAAGACATGGGGTTTCTCAGGAGGGATCGGACCGGAGGCTTCAAGAACAGGCAGCCACATGCGCGCCCTGCCCCCGCAATCAGAGTCCTGGAAAGCCAGCGATGGGCCAGAGTCTCAAGGGTGTCTGCAGCCAAGAAACACCCACGGGGGTGTCCGAAATCTCAGCGTCGAAAACACCCGCAAGGGCCGGGGCTCGCAAGACCTCGCCGGAAGACAGCTTCTCGGAAGGCATGACGGCCCCGCCCCACCCACGGCCAAAGTCCGCTCAAAACCGGTCCCCGGACCCCTCCCCCCCGCGGGGCTGCCCCGGCCAGCCAGCCGTGGCCACGACGAGCCCCCGGGGAACCCAAACACGGGGGAAGATGGCACATCCCCATCCTCCAGATGCGCGCCGCCAGTCCTCCTCCTCCTCGTCCTGCCTCCCGCCTCGTAGTCCTTTAAAAACGGCGACGACGACGACGACGACGACGACGACGAGGACGAGGACGACGACGACGGGCGGCGCGCGACAAGTTCGTCCACGACGACCAAGGTAATAACAACGACGATGACGACGACGACGACGACGACGACGACGATGGTGATAACGAAGATGATATCGAATCCCTGGGCAGCGCTTCATCGCAGGCCCGTTCCTGATTGCCCCAGGGAGCCCGCAACCAGCCTCCTGAGGCCGACATGGGGGAAATAGTCCTATCGACCGACACCCTCGACAGATCCCGGATCGATCCTCGACGGCGACAGCAACTGACCAGAGTCGCGCAGCGTCGGATCCAGACCTCGGATTGATTGGACTTCCAACGCGGGGGCCCCAGGCCTCTCAAAAACTTCGCCGCGGTCCCCAAGGTTCGTGCCCGATCCTCTTTTGACGGTCGCTTGGGCGGGCTCCCAAACGGCCCAAACCTGCAGAAGCAAAACCAATTCATGATTTGGGGAAGACGTCGGAGGGCTCCGCCTCTGCCGCCGTGAGTCATCAACGTCGTCGTCACCGTCGCTGTCATCGTCATCGTCGTTGGTCGCCCCCCTCGTTGTCGTCGTCAGTCGTAGCCCGTTGTCGGCCGTCGACGTCGCTCGTCGTCGGCACCATCCGTCGTCCGCGGTATTGACGTCGTCGTCGCCGACGTTGTAGACGTAGTCGTCGTCGTTGTCGTCGTCGTCGTCGACGCCGTCGTCGTCGCCGCCACAGTCGCCAACGCCGTCGCTAACGCCGTCGCCGTCGCCGACGTCAAACGTCTCTCGCCCCTCGTCCCTCGTCCCTCGTCCATCGTCCGTCGTGGTCGTCGTCGTCCGTCGTCCGTCGTCAGCCGCCGCAGTCGCCATCCTCGTCGTCGTCGTCGTCGACGTCATCGTCGTCGTCGGCAGTCGTCGGTGCCGCCGCCGCCGCCACCGCCGCTGCCTTCGCAGCCGCCGCCGCCGCCGTCGTCGTCGTCGTCGTGGTCGCCGTCGCCGCCGCCGCCGCCGTCATCGTCGTCGTCGTCGTCTCGTCGTCGTCGTCGTTGCCGCCACCGCCGCTGTCGCCGTCGCCGTCACCGTCGCCGTCGCCGACGTCCGACGTCAATCGTCCGTTGCCTCTCGTCCCTCGTCCATCGTCGTCGAAGTCTTCGTCGTCGTCGTCGTCGTCCGTCGTCGGCCGTCTGCTGCCGAGGTCGCCATCCTCGTCGTCGTCGCCGTCGCCGACGCCACCGCCGTCTGTCAGCCGTCGTCCGTCGTTTGTCGTCGTTGCCGACATCCGCAGTCGCCGTCGCCGTCGCCGTCGTCGCCGTCCGTCGTCCGTCGTCCGCCGCCGCAGCCGCCATCGACGTCGTCGGCATCGTCGACATTGACTTCGTCGCCCTCCCCGTCGCCGTCAACGTCGTCGCCGCCGTCGCCACCACCGTCGCCGTCGCCGTCGCCACCGCCGTCGTCGTCGTCGCCGTCGACGTCGCAGTTGTCTTCGTCATCGTCGCCGTCGCCGTCGAAGTCGCCGCCGTCGTTGTCGTCGTCATCATCGTCGTTGTCGTCGTCGTCGCCGCCGTTACCGTCGCAATCGCTGCCGCCGTCGCCGACGTCGTCGTCGTGGCCGTCGGCGCCGTCGTCGTCGTCGCCGCCGAGGCCGCCGTCTCAGACGCCGTTGCCATCGCCGTCAGAGTCGTCGGCGTCGTCGTCGTCGTCGTCGTCGTCGTCCGTCGTCCGCGAGCCCCGCCGCCTTCACTGTCGCCGACGCCGTCGCCGTCGCCCCATCGTCGTCGTTTTCGCGGTCGTCACCGCCGTCGTCGCTGTCGTGGCGGTGTCGTCGTCCCCCCGGTCGCCGCCGCCGTGGTCGTCATCGTCGTCGTCCATGTCATCGTCGCCGTCGCCGCCGCCGTCGCCGAGGCCGTCGACACCCGCCGTCGCGGTCGCCGTCGCCGGCATCGTCGGCAACATCGTCGTCGTTTTCGCTTTCGTCGCCAACGCTGTCGCCGTCGCCGTCGCCGTCGCCGTGGTCCTCGTCGTCGTCGTCGTCGTCGTCGTCGTCGTCGTCGTCACCGCCGTTGCCGTCGCCGTCGTGTCACCGTCGCCGTCGCCGTCGTCGTCGCCGTCGCCGCCGTCGCCGCTGGGGCCAGTCGCCGCCGCCGTCGCCGTCGTCGCCGCCGTCGCTTGTCAATCGCCGTCCGTCGTCCGTCGTCCGCCATCGTTGTCGTCGTCGCAGCCGCAGTCCGCCGTCGTCGTCGTCGTCGTCGTCGTCGTCGTCGTCACCACGGCAAGCGCCGTCTCAGCGCCGTCTCACGGCGCCTGCCGTCCGCCGTCAGTGGTCCGTCGCCCGTCAACCGTACGACGTCGCGTCGCCGTCACCCTCGCCATCGCCGTCGCCGCCACCGTCGCCGTTTGTCGTCGTCGCCGTCGTCGTGATCCACGCCGCCGCCGTCACCATCGTTACCGTCGTTACCGTCGTCGTTACCGTCGTCGTCGTCGTCGTCGTCCCCGTCGAAGTTGCCGTCGCCATCGCCGCCGTCGTCGTCGTCATTGACGTTGCCGCGGCCGTCGCCGTAGACTGGGCCGCCGCCGTCGCTGTCGCCGCGGTCCCCATAGCAGTCGACTCAGTAGCAGTCGCCGTCGCCGTCTTCTGTCGTCCGCCTCCGCCGTTTGTCGTCCGTCGTCCGTCGTCTGTCGTCGCCGCCGCCGACATCCGCAATCGCCGTCGCCGTCGCCGTCGTCGTCGTCGCCGTCGCAGTCGCGGTCGTCGTTGTCGACGTCGTCGTCGCCGTCAGCGTCGTCGTCGCGGACGTATTCGTCGTCGTCGTGTCGCCGTCGCCGCCGTCGTCGTCGACGTCGTCGTCGTGTCCGTCGCGTCGCCATCGGCGTCGCCGTCGTCGTCGCCGCAACCGCTGCCGCCGCCGCCGTCGCCATCGCCGACGCCGTCGCCGTCGCCATCGCCGTCACCGGCGCCGTCGCCGTCGCCGTCGCCGTCACCGTCGCCGGCGCCATCGCCGTCGCCGCCGCCATCGCCGCCGCCGTCGTCGTCGTCGTCGTCGTCGTCGTCGTCGTCCCCGTCGCCAGGGCCGTCGCCGTCGCCGTCGTCGTCGTCGTCGTTGTCGGCGTCGTCGTCCCCGTCGACGTCGTCGTCGCCGTCACCGTCGCCGTCGTCGTCGTCGCCATCGTCGCCACCGCCGTCGCCGCCGCCACTGCAATACTCGTCGTCGTCGTCGTCGCCGTCGCCGTCGTCGTCGTCGTCGTCGTCATCCCCTTCGCCGTCGCTGTCGCCGCCGCCATCGCCGTCGCCATCGCCGTCGCCGTCGCCGTCGTCGTGATCCAAGCCGCCGCCGTCCCCGTCGCCAAGGCCATTGCCGTCGCCGTCGCCGTCGCCGTCGCCGTCGCCGTCGTCGTCGTCTCCAACGCCGTCGCCCCCGCCGCCGCCGCCATACTCGTCGTCGTCGCCGTCTTCGTCACCACCGTCGCCGTCGCCGTCGCCACCGCCGTTGCTGCCGCCATCGCCGTCGCCGTCGCGGTCGTCGTCGTCGTCCCCGCCGCAGCCGTCGCCGCAATCCGCCGTGACGCCGTCTTCGTCATCACCGTCGCCATCGCCGTCGCCGTCGCCGCCGCCATCGCCGTCGCCATCGCCGTCGTCGTGGTCGTCGTCTTCGCCTCCACCGCCGTTTCAGTCGCCATCGCCGTCGCCGACGTCGTCTGATGCCGGCCACCCGCCATCGCCGTCG